TTCATCTCAGAGAACAGATAACTCTCAATGCACTGAGGCTTTTGACACTTCTAATGAATTGCTTTAAAGAGGATTTTGCAATAAAATCCACTACCTCCAGCTCTGACCATTGAAGAGAATTCTCATGGAAGAATATTATTAGATTTTTGTCTAACTCTAGGAATTCTAATATAACAGAAACAAATATTATCAGAATGGCAGACCAGAATCTGGACAGTGTAGTAATATTATGGCTGATCAATTCCACATATTCTGGAAATGTCAGGTAATCCAATTTTAATTGGCTAATGATAATAACAGAAATAAATTAAATACTGGGCTTTGTGATTGATAACAGTTTTGCCGGAAAGTATTTAGCTAATATACCAGCTGAATTGAAAGTTTGTGAAAGGACCTTCTTAAAATATTACTGAAAGCTAGCAAAAAAGCTATTTGTCTTTGAAGGAAGCTCCAACAAGGGGAGAACGGACAAACATTGTAAATGACTTGCTTCATATGGAGAAGCTGACTTTTTCTTTAAGACTCTGATGTGATACATTTGACAAATACTGGTCAATATGGGTTCAACACATGAAGAGGGTTGGCACATAGTCCAAGGAGAATGTTCTGGTACAATGAATGTGAAACTTCTTCCTGATTTTCTATGTGGGATTTTCTTGCTTAACCACTCTACTTTACACATATGTTATACATCTACTAGCCTCTTGAGACTGAGATGGACATGGATTTGTTGTGAACACGTTTTGAGGGACGGTGCCCCATGGCACAAGACTAATGGCTGAGGACATATTGATGTGCTGTATGGCCTCTGGTGACCTGTATGTAGTTTAAGTTTTATTTGTAATGTGTTAATAATTTAAAAACAGATTATAACAAAAATAAATAAATGGGATGAGTGTGTGAACACAACAATGGCGTATAAGTAATTACAGTGTATTCAACAGCTATCACTCTGAGTGAAAGCGGGGAAACAAACATGTCCTGTGGCTGAGAAGTGTATGCTGCTGACAGGCGGAAGCAGCAACAAGCTGCCCAGCTTCTCTGAACAATGCTGTGATACAGTACATTCACATAGGCTACACACACAAAGCTCTGCTCACACAACAGTGCAGACATGTTGCCATTTCTGCGGGTCTTACCATGACATCTGGTCTTCTCCTAGCCTATCAAAACACAAACTGATGAGTAATACAGTCGACACAGTGTGTGTGTGTGTGTGCGTGTGCGTGTGTGTGTGTGTGTGTGTGTGCGCTACCTTGTTGTCCCTGTTTATATCTGACGGGACCGATCCTGAGATCTGACTGGAGATGGTGGCTGCGATCAGCTGTTTACACCACTCTACGTGAGAACCTGTTGGACTAAAGGAAGACAGAGTTTATAACATATTCACAAAAACTAAACATTTTTTCCAAATCCCTCCCTTTTGTGGTATAATGCTGTTCTGAAACATGCTGGGTATGTTGAGTTGAATTGGCTTAAATGAAACTGATCAAATGTAACAAACAGTGTGAAACAGTGTTTGTGTTAAATCAGAGGAAGTGAGAGCAACATAGTGGTGTTTATAACACTATAGCATTGAATTTACTATGTGAACAACCATAGCAAAGATAGTTCCTGCCCCATGTAATTATTATATAATATAATTGATTGCATCCATATTGTGACAACAAGTTCTGGACAGTCCAAAGAGACTTGTAAGTAGTCTTGTTATAATGGGATATGTTGAATTACTGCCATATTATGTTAAGATTCAGGTTAGAGAGAAAACAAAAATTCCAATTCTGACAAAATACAGTTTTGTTTGGATGAATTAAGAAGACTTCTTTGTTATTTTGGCTGTAAAATGATGCTAGTATATTTGTTTACACCCAGTATTGTGAATATGTTAATGCAACAGCCAGCTGCAAGAACAGTTTCTAATTTTAATTTAGCATTATGAAGTTTCACCATCACAGGAAAAAGTTGTAAGTATTTTTTATTTTACTGTAACAAGAACATTGACATTTCATAACATTAAGACTTTTTTTTCATGTCATAATGAAACGTTTTTTCTACATATAAAAGCAACCAGTGGTTTCATGTTGAGGCCCTGTTTTGCAAAAGTGACCACTCTTCTGATAATGTATGATGAAGAATGATGAAGTAAGTATGTACAATTTAAAGAGAGGGAGGTATCAATCAAACACATGTCATACACACCTCCACTCCAAGGGCCTAATTAGGCTGAGAAGTGAAAACACCTGTGTAGGTGGACCATGGGTGTGCAAGGGGGCATTTATACATCACATTGCATTTTATATTAAGCTAATAGTGTATATTATAATTGATAATTACTAAATATTACACAAATACAATTTCACAAAAAAAGTAGTGATGTGTTTAGGAGGGTTAAACATGCAGGGATATTTGATTTTTACTTAACACAGAAAACACCCCATGCCTACTGTTTTATTTATATATTAAACATTTTATTTGTGATAAATATTAAGATAAATATATTATTATTATTTTTTTCTTCGTTTTTTGTTTAGTTTATTTACTTATGCATTGTACGTTGGTTTGCCATTTTTGGGTAACTAAAAAAGACTGAATTGAATGCTATACAAATACTATGTGTATTTTGTTTTATTATAGTTAATAGTTTGGACCTTTACTGTCACTGCATCAATAAACATATTAGCAATAGCATCGCATACAGTAACGTTTTGGCGGTAGCTACTAACTATACAGTAAGCTAGCCTGTTACTGAGCTAACGCTAGCCGTTAGCTGTCTGTTAACCCACTGTACACAATATCACTGTTTTCCAACATGTCAGGCTGTCGCATCCTGTTGTTTATTAGTATGAAAATATAGGTTCACTTGTAGTCTATTCGCTATTAGCTACTCTATAATAGCTACTGTGACAGTAACTGTAGACCGTCACTTACAACTCCGGCCATAAATATAGTAAATGAATATGCAGTAGCCTTGGCTTATTGGGAAACAGCTGTAGAAGCGGTTTGACATCTGCACTGTATCCAACCCGAATTAAAGATACGACCCTGTGATAAAGGAAATATCGCAACATTTTACCGGGAATTAAATATTAAGGAAGAGCAAGAAAACAGTAAATGCACTACGTGAAAACTATTATATCAGGTCTGCTGCTCACCTCTCCGGGGTTTCACCGGTGTTTGGTCCTGAGCTCGGCAAGCCCCAGGGCTTTCTGTTCGGCCCTGCTGCTTCCGCCGCCCCGGCAGCTCCGGCCTGTTTCTCCATCTGTTTACTGTCCCGGAGGTCGCTAGGGGCGGAGGCGGATGGTTTCCCCTGATATGAGGAGAATGCGGATGAAATTAAACCTCGGTGTAATTCCAATGTCTGCACTCCGCCGGTTCGTTCTGTCAGGGCTCTGTGAGGTGATTGTGAATGCTTCCTGTTATTTGGTTATTTGTGCTTCCTGCCGGAGACTGCCTCTACCTCGCGCATCTCTTCCTCGCGCTGTAGCTCCGCCCACTTACAACAGAGATGCGAGGATGAGGAGGAAACATCAGCAATATGGGTCAGGCACAGGGGGAACATATTCAGATTCTTTACTTGAGTAAAACTACTAATACTCAGGGTTGGGAGGGTCACTAAAGAATGTAATCCGTTACAATAAATAGTTACATGTCAACAAATGTAATCAGTAACAGTCGGAGTATCAAAATATAAAAAGTAATGCAACCTGATTACTTTCTGTTTTGATCAAATTAAAAAAAATTCACAGTAATCCGATTACTTATTTTTATGTTATTGCAATCGAATACAGTTACCTTTTTTGTATCCTGATTACGTAATCTCATTGAGATTGAGTGAAAGTACTCAATGCACAAATACTATTTTTAAAGATGAAACGCAAAAGCAGCAAATAGTGACATTTAAGAAACTGGAACTGGGAAATATATTTGAAAACAAATCTTAATTCCAATACATTATGTTAACCCACTCAGGATTTTAGTTACGTAAATATGTTGGATGGTAATCTATACCAAAACATCATATATTAAAGGTTTTCCCCAAAATCTGAATTCATAAAGTAATGTAGTTGAGTACAAGTATAAGGTAGTATAGAATGAAAATACTTAAAAGAAGAAAAGTACCTCAAATGTGTACTTTAGTACAGTACTTGAGTAAATGTATTTAGTTACATTCCACCAAAGGTCATGCCATCGTTGATTCAACAAGCTTTAGGAAGTTATACATGTTCAGCGGTACCAGGTCATTTGGTTAATCTTGCCTGAGCATGCGTAGAATAGCTTTGTTTTGTTCATGCAGCTATAGTAGCCCACACTTTGATCACTTCCTTTAAGAACATGTCATGTGAAAACATAAAACTACATCTAACCTATATAAAGAGGAATACGGTAGTGCCTAGTGTAGGCCTACATCATCATTACATTTAAGGAAATGTTAAAAGGGGCCATAAATACATTACTCCCAACCACTAAATGAATTTGCTGCCATTAGCCCCCATTCTTCAGATTTCAGGTTTTCCACCTGATGTTGCTGAATTCTCTCCCATTTAGATACAATAAATAGAACTGGCTTTTCCTTCCTGAAATGTAGACACATTTAAAACACAAGAAAAGAAAAATACACAAGTCAGGGTGCAACATTTAAACTTAAATTACAACTTTGAGAGGATTTGGAAATAAAGCAAGCAATCAAATTCACTTTCCTGTGAAAATAAACACAAATAAAAAGAGAAGAACGTGCATGATCCATATCCATGTTGCATGCTGGGAGGGTTCCCAACACACCTACCTCATGTACTAAAAGTATCACATAATTAGCACTCTGCCATATTGATGCTGATCAGGGTTTTAATTCTATTCATTTCCAAAGTAAGAGGTGCATACAGTTTTCAGCATCTTCAGTCATGGTATAATGGATTGATGCAGTAAGCAAGGACCACATTGAAAAGCAAGACAAATCAAATATCTGAAATTGATCATTAAATAACATATGCAAAGAGCCAGAGTCAGAAATGCTTAAATTAATTTAATCAGTAATATTTACACAACAGGACCCATCCAACAAACTGGAGAGGATATAACATGATTCAAAGAAATACATTTGAAATGTATTCTGATTTCACTTTCCCTTGTAGATGACAAATGATCCTGAAACACATTTCATGTGTATTTATTAAAAAGCAGGCTATATTAATACACAAAACCCTTTAAACTACAATCCCCTACATTAATAAAAGAGTACATTTGAAATGAACATTGACAGAGTTCTCAGATTCATTGTGTGAACCGAAGGTTAAAGATCCCCCAGAGAACTGAGAGGAGGATGTCAGGTTGTGACGAGTGGACAGTATCCACAAGCTTCAGTTTTTAATCCTGGGTTAGCGAATACAAACCAAAGAAATGCCCTCAAAAATAAAACAAAACAACTTAACCAATAGAGCAGAAATCCACAATTTATACCAACAATTTCTGAACCAACATTACTTTCCTTTTTTATAAAACTGTAAGATTTTACACTACATAAAATAATTGTATTTTACAACAATAGAACTTTAGACAGTAAAATAGGTTTTGATTGAGGTAATTACATCATGGTGCTTGTACAAAGTAAAAAATAATAAAAATAGATTTTATCTGTTTTTCCCTAAAAACACAACCACCCGACCAATGCACACTTTTTATGTTGCTGTGACTTCTTCTGTTCTTTGACCTATTACCCTCAATGAGATCCTGGCTTTCATACAGGACATCAACCCCTTGTCAAAAGTATCCATATGGTAAACCCCATGTTATTTCACCTCTCTGTGAACATAGGGATCAGGTTGCACTCTGTAACCCACCCAGACATAGAAAAGAGTCATGTTTGAGATTTGAATACTAGCTGGTAGCCAAAGTCCTATGCTTTCGTGAAACTACGAGATCCAGTGGCCAATATCTGGAAGGTATGGATTCTTTAAAAGAATGCGGCTTGAGAAATCCGACTTCCCTAATTGGCAACGTAGTTACGCAACGACAGATGTTACTGACGTTGATCTGCCATGGTGCTGTAAGTGTTGCTGACAAAGAATTGCAGGATGCCATTGGAGCATCAAAGCAACTTTCCTAAGCATATAGAACATTTTTAACCAGCTCTCATCTTGGCCAACACTTAAATTCTTCTACTTTTTCTTCTGTCAACAGTTCGGAACCTTCGGAGGAAAAAGGACTAATTGACTTCAGCTCTAGTTCAACCAAAGTGTTGTCCAACCTTGTTAGAAAATCAAGAGTTTTAGCTGTTCTGAACATCAATACTGAAAGATGGAACAGAAAGCCAGAGGGGACTTCAATTGTTCAAAAATGCGTCTAAGATCAGTGCATGATTCTTGGACCTAGTGCATCTCTGTACTAATAGAAGTCGCTGCTGTTATTTATATATGGCCATTGGCTATAAGTTTGACCATCATTTTGAGTTTCATCTTGCTACCGTGTGATCTGTTAAGGAGTCACATAGGACTTAAAGGGGATCAGAGGCTTCCTTAAACTCAGCGTTAGGTACCTTGGCAAACGGCCCTGTCCTAAACTCTGTACTTACTCGCGGAATGCCGGCAGTAAACGCCCATTTCCTCCCGCTTCAAACTGGCGCAGACCCATAAACAACAGCATGGCATCCTCCCAAGAGCAAAGGATGCAGAGCTTTCCTCCTTTAGAACCCTGAGCTCCAGAGCAGTCAATCTCAAACATGACCCAGGACAGCTGAAGTAGGTTCTCTCAGACGAGGCGATTCACACAAGAATCAAGGCACAAATCTGGACATGACATGACACACTTCCCAAAAATGACTTATTGCACCTCATTCACAATTGTCACACTGTACACACAATGCATCATCTCAATTCTTTGTTGCTTCCGACGTCCTAACAACCAAGCGCTAAATATATTGGGATGTGAGCCTTCGTAACTCAAATTTCTCTCTCAACAGGAAGGCGTTTTATTTCAAGGAATTCAATGTGACCATAGAGAAAATATAATGGGGGGAAAAAGCTCCATAAGAAAAGTCCCATTCTTCTACATCCCACAAAGTGGAGGATACAACAAGTCCAAAAAAAGCGATTTGGTAAGCAACATAATCCCCAGCGTTCGACCCCTAGCATTATATTCATTTGGGAAAGAGGTTTTAATGAAATGATACAAGTATGGTGTCAGGTGGACATGATCGACAGTGGTGGTCCAAGTAGATTTCCAGGTTTGTCTACCCTGCATTACTTTGAAGAAATATTCAAGTCGAATTCACAACAAATCAGTGCGGTGAAAATAAAACGGTTCTCCCATTCATTTCAATCTTGGTAGTTGGTTTTGGTGGAAGGCCATAGGGGATTCCGTAAAACTGGAATCACCTTTTGGAAAACCCAATGACAGACTTCGGTGGCCGATCGCATAACCGGTGATCAATGCGCCATTGGTTACAGATGGGCCTTCAGCCAACGAGTGTCACTCAAATCGACCAAGTGCCAATCCTACACCGCGATAGGACTGCGCCAATCACCGTCATGCCTGATTTGGTATAAATGCAGCTCCTTTTACTTGGTTTTATTCTCGTTTTATGTAACCGACACCACAGCTGGCATCAGCGAAAGAACACATCCGCTTTGGACAAGTTTTATTTTTTTTCCCTCTCGAAGGGATCGCAATGTGGTGGCCATAGAAATGATCACACTTAAATCCTCTATTGACAGTACTCAGAAATCAAGCCTGTGGTATTTATTAGGGGCCAATGTTGGGAGACTGAGTTCTACTTAACATTGTAATAAACAGTCTAGTCATCATGATGGACTGATTGATACGGTATATACATTATTTTTAACAAACCAAACTGCGAGCCCTTAGAGTTAGCAGCAAAATCCTCATATCAAACAATTCCGTTTCTGGCATTCCTTTTAAACACTACCACACACACACACACACACACACACACACACACACACACTTTAGTCCATGCCATGTCATGATGTGTGATTCTTCACACTGCTCTGTAGACTTTCAAAATAGCACCAAAACGAAAGAATACTAAAGAATGTGCTTTTTGGACAGGTTGGTTCTCATGTGTTCTAATGGGGAATTTAATGGAAGCCCATTCAAATCAGGAACTAAAATAGTATAAATAAATGGAAATACTCTAGGTAAGTCCGTAGTGATCTATTATGTCAGAATAAGTCATTAGTCAATATTTTCAGTATCTTTTTTTTGCAAAAAATATCAAAAATATGAGATAGCACTAACCTTATTTTTAAAGAACACTTAGATAAAAAAATAAATCTCTAAACTTTGACTGATTTAATTTAAACCTAAAACCCTATTATTTAAATATTTCATCAATATCTATATTATCATTCCTATCGATTAATGTATTTTGGAATTTTTTGTGGACATTGACTTCCATTAAATTCTCCATGTGAAAGACATTTTTATCCTTTATCTTTTACATTTGTATGTTACTTTCCATTTAAAATCAAGGATAATTTCCCCAATTTTTATTTTGTTTTAGCTTTCGCCATCTTTGTTAGGTTTTGATAACCCGTTTTGCACAAATCTCCAAGCCAATATCTTCAGATAAACAGTCAATTTGCCACACAAAGCTGGATTCCAATTGGACAAAAACATGAGCAGAGACAACCAAGCAAGCAGTTGTAAACAAGTCCATCCAATGACAGTTACCTCAATTAATCAGATAACTGGCAAATGGAGAATAAACATTCATTCTGACCTAAACTTCCCTTTCTAATGTAAAAACGGACCCACATGAAACAAGGAGGGGATATATCAACACCTGTCCAAAAGGCACAAGTGCTATGAGATTAAGTTTCATATGGGACTTTTGTTGTGGATAGAATATCTAGAAACACTCAGGTTTACAAAAAGAAAAAGAAAGTAAAGGGGGGGAGTGAGAGTAACTGGTTAATCTCTGCCCCCTGTCCCAATAACTGGTGCTGGTTTCAAACATCTTGGCATGGTAAGGCTATCATGGACCATGGCTGACTTTCATTCAGGATCTGAGAACAGAAGCACAAGAGGGGATCCAGGATCAGGGGCCAGCACCACTTCATGTCCCTAGATCATCTTGAGCATATGAAAATATTTCCAAAGTTGCATTTATTAAAGCATATTACTGATTGAGTCTAGCCAAACTCTTTAGTTGGCTAGAAGTAATTTTGCTCTCTAGCTTAGGAAGTGCTGAACAATACTGCTTAGGCGAGCTTAGCGGTTAGCAGTGGCTAACCAAACGTGACAATGCTAGCTTTTCATCGTCAGTCGATAAGCAACTAATTCCACATCAACCATCCAAATCTGAAACGCTTGATATATACAGCCGTTCTTAACACTTCCTCAAAGCAAAGGGAGCGGTGCAGCGCAGCAGGAAGTAGTGTGCGAAGGGAGAAACTTGATTAGCATTTCGCTTTGTTCACACAGGACACCAACGCTTGTGTAGCGGGACGTAGGAGGGACAAAAGTGTAACCTCGCTTTGTGCGCACTGTGAAATGTGTTTCCAAGAAATGTATTGTTTCCTTTTTTCATAACTCTTTTTCTGTTTACCTCATATTATTTAAACAATCTATTCTTACGCTTGACAAAAATAATCTGTGGTGCGTCTCAGGGGTTTTCATCGGGGAGTGGAGTTGGCAGTTCAAGATCTCGTGAAAAAGTGAAATTGATAACACTTTGAGTTAAAATGTCAAAAACAACACTAATTTGACTTGAACCTGTGCATGAGAGACTCCACGGTTAGCCTAGCCTAGCATAACAAATGACAGCTAAAGGGATCTACCTATAGAAGAGAATAAATGAACGCCTATACACATCCACTGTGTGCCCTGTGTGTAAAAGCCCTTGGACCGAAAGCCACTGAATGTCTTTAAGGCTTCCCTGTGTGGTGAGTGAGTGTGTGTGTGTGTCTGTGTGTAAAAAATCTTGTGACAAGGCTGTACTGTGACATATTGCATAAATCACCCTCACATGTTAGAATAACCCATCAAATCTAAACTCTTGTTAGCATTCTTCGTTACGTATTAGTTCCCTGTGTGTGAGACTGACAGGAATCAGAGGACATAAGTGCAAGTCAACAAGTAGATCTGAGTGTGTGTGTGTGTGTGTGTGTCACCAGCCCTCAGAGGGGAGTTTGTAGTTGTGTGTATTGCTGTGGTGGTGTGGAGGAGGTGGAGGAGGAGGAGTTGGGGGTGTTGGCCAGACGGGAGGAAGGGGAGGAGTCGGACAGCTGCAGCTCCTCCAGCTTCTTCAAGTACTCGTCTCTGAGCGCCAGCAGCTCCTTGTAGCGCTGCTCCACCGGGCTCTGCTGCTGCAACACACACACACACACACACAACACACACTTTACGAAGGCGTCACAGAAAGAGGTTTTAAAAAGAAAAAAATGTATTGAAGCCATGTTGAGGTTTGCGATTAAAGCTTCACATATGGGTCATCATTTATAACATAATCACAGTAAAAAGTTCACCATCAGAATACATGAGGAATTCATCAACTTGATTTAATAAATAACCTGTCAGTTTGTGTCTCCCTTGCAAAATAGTACATACTTCATGAAAATGCGTTTTTTTTAAAAGCTGAACACCAACAAATATTGAGTTATAGTTGAATATGTTGATGATATACATATGTTGTGAATTATGTAAAAGATTGCATCCATTTTTGGAAATAGATTTTGGACTTATGCTACAGATAAGACATCCTGACATAAGCTGCTCATAACCAATTGCCCCTTGCGGGATTAATAAAGTTGTTGATTGATACTTATGATATATGTGTGGCTTTATCTTTACCTGCAACTGTGAGGGTATATAGGGATTAAAATGCAATGGACAGTTAAGAAAAAAGGGTTGTTAAATGTCAACAACAAAACATGAAATGCCATTTTAGCACAGCCTGGTTGTCTACTGTATAAATATCTTTGGGAGAATCTATACTAAATAAAATAAATATATTTGTTCAAGTCTCAATAAAAATAGAAATGTCCCATACCATTGGAACTTTTTTCTCCAATCATTTAGACTATTCTTTTCATACAGTGGCTATACAAATGAATAACAACATTATAAAGTTGTCTAGTAGTCACCTACTGCCCTTGTTCTGATCAATTAGTTTCACAAAGAAGAGATAATTACTGCCGTAGATACAGTCTCAAACAAACCTCTTTAAAACTGATACAAATCTAAATGGGTCTGGGGCCTAGAGCAGATCATAGTATAATATAACACACAGAGGCCCTCCTACCTGTTGTCGGATGCGGGGGTTCCAGCGGATGTAGTACGTTACCCACAGCTCTAGGTGGCGCATGCTGGCGACGGGGTAGAGGACCCTGCCGGACTCGGGGGTGTAGAAGGGGTTTAAATACATCTCCATCTTACTGTTGACCAGAGACCACAGAGACACCGTCTTCAGCCTCACCTCCTGGACAGAGAGAAGAGAAAGAGAGACACTTAGAGATAGTCCTCTGCAAGGTAAAGTCAGCTTTAGGGAGGGACGGGAGTGTTAAAGTCTTACGTGCTGGTCTCGTGCACTCTCACAGTTGTAGAGGAAAGTCCCGAAGCAGCAGCTGTAGAGATGATCCAGGATGGTCAGCAGGAGGCGCTCATTGAACTCAAAGGCTGTAGGAAACTGAGAGGAGAGAAAATTCAGCCTCCTCATCTCAGCAGATTGTAGGATTGGTCTTTAAGATAAATTCCTTGTTTTTGTTATACTGTGAATAGCACCTCCATGAAGTGATGAAATGCGCCTACTCAGGGTGCTTTTTTTGTCGCGGTGCAATTAACAGCACATGCAGAGCTGCAACCTGTGCTCTCCTGCAGCGAGCACCATGTTCAGGTGAGAGGAAGGCGTGAACATGTGGGAGGTTTGTTCAGACGAGGCAGAACAAATATATTTTGGTTGATAATAAGGCTCAGACGTCAGGACTAAAGATGCTAAGATTCAGACAAACTATGTTAATTAAACCTCAGATCCAGTCCATTTGTTTGAATCAGTGCAAGCAGGAACATCTGCTAATCCTTCCGTATATATTTATACATGAACAAATTCAAATGAATTAATAGATATATTAATTAAAAAAGCTATGTAATAAAGAAAATCAATAATACCATTTATTTAGAGGCGCCTTTTAAAGCACTCCAGTACACCTTCACATTCGTAAAACATTCTAAAAAAGGTTAGAAACAGCGAAAAAGGACAGTTACATGTAGGGAAATGTAGCTCACTAGTCTACTGACTCTCAGTACGAGTTGTCCACAGCTGCTTGATTTGAAATTAAAAACCTCTCCTTCAGCTCATTAAATCCCAGCATGCAGCAGGACACACATAAAACTACAAATGTGCAGTCTCTCTGCTGTGTTTATTAACCACCACAACCTCCAATATATATTTATAATCCGCCTTTTTGCACTTTGAGCTGCTGCACTTACATAAACCAAAACAGCTAAATAAGACTCCCACGAGTTCTGCGCACCAAAGACATTCTACTCTGCTTCCATGATTTAAAGAGTGCAGCGGTGTCTTTTCAGGAGGACGTTTGTGGCAATTTCATCTAATTAAACCCCAACTGCCGGCTCGAGCTATACATATGGAAAAGCCTCTCATCTTGGTTTAAATGAGACTATTATAGCACCCATGTGACGGATGATAGAAATGCCTTTGAGGGTAAGTTCCCACACGCTAATATGCAGCGTGATGACTCAGATACAGACCTGTTTAGTCATCTGCCACACGCAGTCGATGAACTGCACGAAGATGGGGGATCGGTCCTGATCCGCGTGGTTCTTGTCGCCGTGACCTATCCTCTACACACACACACACACACACACACGATGCTTAACTAACACTTTTTTTTAGATATAGGGACAACATTCAAGATTGAAGCTCAAATACTTTATAGTGAAATGTATACTGTAACAGCTGAACCGTAGTTTTGGCAATACAAATCTTAAGTCTCGTACAGTGCAACACACCGAGAAATAAAGCTAGTGCAAGAAGAAATAGAAATAAAATAGTGCAAGAGAAGGGTGCAGGGGACCCTAAGGTTCAAGTCAATTCAGATAAATAAAAAATGAATGTAAAACTAAATACTGTACAGTGGAATAAAACAATGCGTATAGAATTGTGCAGTGATGATCAATGTTTTGTAGGCTGACCCAGAATGTAGCATCGCTAGGGGGTCCCTCTACAAAAGCAATGGGTTTACCCCTTTGCATTTCAGTATGTTGCAGAAAATAAGATCTGCGGCACTCACACATTCAACCTTTTAGCAGGATCATTTCCACATATTAACACCACTTTGTGATTCTTAAGCCTAAATACAATTGCCCGAAGTTAAAAGCTAACGCTAAGCTAGTGAACTACATCACGGTTGCATGGCTGAACATAAATATCAATGACGTATTTTATATCGGAAAACAAAACGTGAAAAACTCTGCAGCTTGTGTTAACCACAGACCTTATGTCAGGCTTCTAACCACAAACACGTTAAAAAAAACCTCTGACTTGGAGACAAAGGAAGCGGAAGTGGTCCAATGGTTAGTTATTTCTGGGTTTCAGGACCATATAGTACGAACATAAATGAATATGTAGACATTCAGCTTTGCTAAATGGCAATTATTGATATTAAAAAAAGACAAAGCTCAACCGATTGATTCTAAAGAGAGGAGTTACTTACCGAAGCAAATTTGTGCCCAAAGCTGATCCACTCCTTCTCGATCAGCACCTGAAACAACACAGAGCTTCACTTCCTGTCCATTCATCTCACTAAAGCTTCAACAAGAGACATTCCATTACTGCTAAGTGCAGTGAAAGCGCTGCACTGGTGCGATTGAAGCTAACGGTGCTGCTCTCTGGTGTGGATGAGCACTCTCCTGTCATCATGCTGCTGTGCTGTTACTGACCTGGAAGCCTCGGAGCGTTCTGTAGTGACTGTCCAGCATCAGCATGGCCAGAGAGGTGAGCTGAGCGGTGCGGTCCCAGCCGTCGCTGCAGTGCACCACCACAGACTGTCCGCTGGAGACCTTGTCTGCTACCTTGGATGGCTCCTGACAACACCAGCTGCACACACAAAGGACTTTTAGAAACCAGTATTTCTATTTATATATTTAAGAGGGGACAAAGGCAGAAAACATTTAGTCAGCGGTATCTGGAACTGATCAATATAATATTTTACTTTATGATCAAAACATTTCTTCAAGACTTAGAAATGATTGTACATTAATTTCCACATCTGTTTAGTAATCCTGACACACCACCATACAAACTACCATGGGACTATTAAGGAGGAAGGTTAAGTTAAACCAAACTCTTTTGTACTGAAGATGCTGACTGACATTCACATAGTCATTTCTAACCTTTACAACCTTTATGTTTGACTTTCCTGCTATAAAAAGGCACTAAATGAAGCGATGACTCTTTTTCTGACCTTAACGTGTTCTAGCCAATGTGTGGACTCTAGACTGGACAGCCAATGAGAGTCCTCCACGTTGGGGTACACAATGTCTTTGAGCTTCTTCAGGGACTCCCTCATGACGTGGATGTTCTGGATGTCCAGGAAGACCAGCTCTGCGTTTTGGTACTCGTCGCCCTCGTAGCCTCCTCCTGTGGCCTGGGGAGGGACATCAAGATACAACATTAAATGAAACCTTCTGTTTCAGGAAGTGTTCAACATGGGGCCCCCGAAAAACATTAGGATTCATTACACAAATGTATTAGAAGTGTGTTTTTTCTGAATAAAAGTGTTGGTCCAATGGATGTTTCCCCCTATACGGAGGTGGACAGTTGCTGAGGGGAATCTAAATATCATTAGCTATCATCCTCTAATTTATTTATATCATGTCTAATTTATTGTACATGTTCACTATATAGTGAAAAAAAAAAAAAAAAATATATATATATATATATATATATATATCTATTTATTCAATTTGTTTATATAATATGTTTTATTACACAATCCTACTTTAAAGGTAGGGTAGGTAAGTTTGAGAAACCGGCTCGAGATCGCTAGAATTTGAAAATACACAACCGGAGAAAATCTGCCACTTCCTTACAGAGCCCCTCCTCCAACACACACGAACGCGCACATGACCAATGAGGGCACGAGATAAGTTTGTGCACAGATGGAAGGCTGACAGGCAGGTAGGCCATCCAGTTATTTTAGCCGGGCCGGCTAAAATGATTGGTCGTGCTTTTTACAGTATTACAGCTTCCACAGATGATATTTTTTTATGGATTTTTTGTCAAAGCACTTCAGATATTCATTGCTATCGGGATGTTAAGAGCATTCCATGGAATATAACAAAAAGTGTATCTCGAGCCGGTTTCTCAAACTTACCTACCCCACCTTTAATCTTCTTTTCTTATATAAATATATTTATTCTAATGGCTTTGATTCATTTTTTTTACTTTTGATTGCAGTCATCTTTAATTTTTTATGTTCATGTAAATATCTTTAATCTATTTAATGTTATTTATTTAATCTTTCAATAGCACATTCTTACTTTAACTTATTCTGTGTATATACATATTTTATTTTATTTATTGCATATTCTTACTTCTAACCTTTTTTATTTATTTATTTTTATAAATGGAGCAACTATCACAAAACCCAATTTCCCTGGAAATAAATAAAGTACTGATTGATTATGATTCTCTAGGGGAAATACTAAATACCCATAAAAGAGAGTATGTTTAACTGTGAAGAAAATGTTTGTGTTTCAAGCAATGCAGCTCATGATCCAAAATACTAACTAATGCCAAAATAATACGATGAATAAATCTCTGAAATTGACAAAAAAAGTTCAATATGTTCGGCACAAATTGATTTTGTTCTAAGAGTACATCATATTTTCATTATTTGAAGTGTATATACTATTGCAAACAGATAGGGACTACAGGAGATGACCATGTACGACACCCCATGACAACAGAGCAGCCTGACACACGTTACACATGAATCAGAAATGTCATCTTTATAAATGTTGATACTGAAGATTCCACTCCCAGGCCTTAATCCTCAGGTCAGATTTCAAAAGACTGAATATGTTTTGTTTGTGACCTAGATAGTTTGATTCTTTCATTATCTCCAGGACTAACAAAACACATATTGTGGCACTCCTTGATTATAGAATATAGGATACACGAGTCAAGCTAGTTATAGTTCCTTCTACTGTTATGAAAACATCCCGATATTAACGCATGAGATAAATAGTCGCTAACAGAATTCTCAAAGATGCCGGCTGTTGCAGAAGAACAGTTTGCAACAAGGTTTTGTAAAAAGAGTCAAAGCTCAAACGGAGAGAAAGAAAATGTGGACCATACGATGGGAATGTGGCGTTTCTGTTTGTTTTATGGATGCATGTTTTATGTTTGATCATAAAAAAAAGTCTCCAAAGTTTCCATTGCACATTAAGAACTGGCATTTTTTTCAATCAATACATCAACTTCCTACCCCAGCCACTAGTGAAATACAAAAAAGATTCTTTATGTGGATAGAAAATTGGGATGAGAACACAGACTTACAATATTAAAAATATATAACGGTAAAATATATAAAAAATGTTGAATGACTATTTAATTCTGATTTTGTTTTACGGAACGTCTCCACAGCAGCGTTAAAAAAATCTTGGAGGTGGGCGTATCTGAAGCTTGGGGATTTTTTGCGAACAACCAATCACATGAATCTCTCGCCCCCGACATACGAAGCCAAAAAGCCCGAAGTAAACTGGATATAAACTCCCCAAAACAGGCGAAAACATACCACTGTCTCTGCCACCTCCCTCCATGCCTGGCTCCTCCGGTTTATATCCCGGTAGGTCTGGTCATAAAGCACCGGGTGATTCCCTACCGCTAATTTCTCCTCCATTGTTTGGAATATGAGGAAATGACCTGCGGTATGTCTCTCCCAGCATACACGCCGTTTGATTGGCTAGAGCTTGAACGGTCAGATTTGCGTACACTGGATTTGATTGGCTGCCGCTTCCACCTCAGCCTCAAAAGTTGAACATTGTTCAACTTTGAATCCTCAAAATCCTCAAAATCTCCGCTCGCCTGCCCACAATGCAGTTCGGCGAAAAGTGAGGGAAAGTGACGTCACCCCATTCAAAGTGAATGGGCAGAAGCGTTTCAAGATTTTTTTAACGCTGCTGTGTAGACGGTCCGTTATACTGAATACATTGGGATTTTTGACTGCTGGTCGCACAAAACGTGACATCATTTGTCATCTTGAAACAGTGGATGCTATTTCATTTGTTATACTATTTAATGAATTGAAAATATATTTTAATAGATTCGTTTGTAATGCAAATAAATCATTTATTTATTATTTTCCACTTATTCTCACTCTATTCAAAGGAAAACCGCCATGCCATAATCACAGTAAGCTTTCTCAGGAGTGACCTCTCCATCTGCTGCTTTCCATCCCACTCAGTACCGCTGTTTCTGACAGCCTGATGGGGGGGGGAAGTGTTTTCTGTCAGACCACCCCTTTGACCCCTGAGAGTCCCCCCCCCCCCCCCCTCACCTTGTTAGCCACGGCGTTGACGCTGGGCCGGGCGTCGAAGATGGTGAGTTTGGAGGTGTCGTTGGCCTCTCTGATCACGTCCAGGTAGCGCTCGTCGTCTTTGTTTCTCTTCCCGGACATCCCGACCAGAGGCTGACTGCAGCGGGCGATCACCGCCTGGTTCTCCCTGTGGATCCACGACAGGACCTGAAATACATTCAACTGAGTCAGGTGGATTGAAAAAGTCAAAAAAGACTGAATAAAAGCACAACGTTTTACTGCAACGGACACGAGAGCAGGCTGATGAAACCACAGTTTAGACTTGGGTGCACAATTAGTGTAAATCTGATCGAAAACAAACTGTGGACTTGACTAGTTTGAATCAAGTCTTATGGAGCAGCAGAGATAACCCAGCCTTCAAACCGTATTCTCCAGAATTAACTAAACATATTGGTTTGGTATAGATCTTCTTGGAAGAAAGAAAGAAATCACACCAAAATAATTTGATATATTTGTTATGAGAATAAAGAGGCGAAAAAAAAACAATCGCTCCAACATAATATGAACATTTAAAAATACCACTTGAAAAGATCGCAATTAGCTATTATTTGGAGGAGTGGGTCGTATTCAATGACATACTATATCACAGAAACATTTAAATATAGAGAAGTCAAAGTGAAAAGAGTCAAACTGTTAGTAGCGGTGTGTGTTGTTTTTCTTGGAAACTGTTGTTATAGTTGCAGCATGTGCAGGACAGGGTCCAGCGCAGGACAGGGTCCAGCGCAGGACAGGGTCCAGCGCAGGACAGGGTCCAGTGCAGTACCATACCAACAGCTGATTGGTTGAAATCAGTTGAATGCAGATCTGTTTGGACTCACGGGTATGCGTCCTCTGGACCTGAAGGCTGCCACTCTCCTGAGGTCCTCCTCTTTACTCTTAAAGGGTACGGCCAGCACGGTGGGGTAGGTGTCGCACAGCTCGTAGTTCTTATTGATGAAGGTGATGCGCCACTTGTTATTGGGTAAGCCCTGCGAAGGAAAATGATCAGTTGGTCACTTCATACGCAGAAATGCTCCTTTTCTACTTTTTTCTCAACTTAGGGTGTATTTGACAAACAAAACGGAGCTATGCCTGTAATAGTAGAGTCCTAAAGCTGCCTTACCTGCCGTCTGAACTCCTCTATGGGTTTGTAGATGTCCCAGCCGCTCTCCCCGTACTTCTCCTGAGTCACATATGCAAACAGTGGCTGCACCCAAAGGAGACAAGGAGCATTTTTATGAATAGGATTTTAGGATAGTAAGGTTTTAGCAGCAGGACAGGGACCCTGAGAAGAACTGATTTACAGGTCACTTTTGGTCAGATTCTGGGGAGAAACTGGTGTGTTTCCCCACTGATACTCACATGTAATAACACTATTATTTGAATGATCACATTAGCATTCCCGCACAAGGAACAATTGATAACAAAACCATTTTGTAAGTTTTGTTTGTAAAAACATGTTTTCAGGTTGGTGTGATGGTCGAAGTTATTTCAAATATCAAATGTCAAATTACTTTCCCCTTTTATTTATTATCGTAGAACTGAGACATATGATGTATTTGAACATCTTTTAAAGTGATTTTTTCTGTCTAACCAACAGTCAAAAAAGGTATTCAGTTTACAAGAGAGTAGCTAGAACTTGATAAATGACTGTAACAACTAATTGATTGGTGTTCAGTTTATTGATCGATCAATTAAGGACTGATGAAACTACTACAAAAACATGCTTCGTGTTCACCCCGAAACTGTTTCATGTTTTAAATATCTAAATATTTAGCTTCCAGTTACAGAGGGCAGAACCCGCTCCATGATCCATTTGGAGTCACGGCTTACTTTTGTTCTTGTTTGGGTTATTTTCTACTTCTAAGCCAGAAAGATGTGCCCCAGTTCTTCATTCAGAAATTGAACAGTGAATGTCTGAATTCACTCGTGTGAGTAAAACATGAGCTATAAAAAAATCCTTAATACAAACGCTGCCTGCTTGGTTGGTGTCCGGTACAGCCAGGGGGTATTTGGCAGAATAAATGTACAGATTCTAATGTGTCCACTGGCCCATATTAGAGACATTAGCTCTGCTGAGGCTAGCTCTGACACACATGGAGCATGCAGGAGTATTAGCCCAGCTGATGGAGCTGTGGTGTGGGTGGGCAGCTGATGGCTTGAGGGGGCTGCATCTCTGCATTCAACACTTGCATAAACACTGGGCTTTGAAGCAATGCAGGAGGACATAGGGCTGTGCAATTAATCGTATTTTAAATCGCAATTACGATTTTGGCCTGCCACAATTACGAAAACAACATAATCGAAAAAAAGGATTATTTTGCTTTGCTAGGTTGTGACAGTGCACTGCAACATATTTGATCTAATTTATTTGTATTTATCATATTTATATATGTTTAGTAGCTTGTTGAAGTGCACTCCAAAATATTTGTTGATCTTGTTTATTGGTATTTATTATTTTGATATTATTTATTTAAATGTAAATATAAATGTATCATTTATTTTATTTATTTTTGTATTGGTTTTCAGTTGAATTATACGTTCAGGGAAATCAACAGTTAAAAGATACTGTTCAAATTATTATTTGTATTTAAAAGTTCAATAAATGGATGTTTTCAAAGTCATGAATAATCGTATTTAATAATCGTGATATCAATTATTGACCAAAATAATCGTGATTATGATTTTTGCCATAATCGCACAGCCCTAGGAGGACATGTCCTTTCTCAGCTAATATGGTTTGCTGCTTTCACCCCTGTGTATCACTAGGGACATTTGTGGATATCGGATCATGTTGGCTGTGTTAATTCATATGGCACAGTTTGTTTGAGTTTTTTCCCAATTTTGGAAGTTCAATCTCAGCTGCTTTGATTGATCTATTATAAAATTGTAGCACCATATACTCACACCATATAAAGGACAGATTTATACACATTCAAACCCATACAAAAAAAACATGTTTTGATCCCAGGGCCATTACAGCAGAAAATCATACATTCAATAATATCAGGCTTTTAATATGAAGCCCTGGCTTTAAAGATAATAGTTTTTACAACGTTCCAATTGAGCAACTTCCTTATGTGCAACCTCGTTTCCACTAGGAACATTGTGGCTGTATCGGTGGTCTTTATGTACACAAATTAGCATTTAAAAAGTTACAAAATCTTTAAAACAAATGAATATTTGGTAGTGATGTTCACGACAGAAGCTGGTCAAAAATGGAAAGTGGGAAATTATATGAATTAATAATGTTATGGCAGTTTTTCTTTTACACAGACATCCACATTTTTTTGTGACACACAAGAGCTGATACACTCAAGGATCAAAACTGGACTTGTTTTCAAACTAAAAGGCAGGGGAGTGTTCTGTTTAAAGTGATTCTTACATACAGTACATAATGTTGATTTTGCTCTAGATTGTGTAGTGTTGAACACAGGCTTATCCAACCAATGTAGATCAAACCATCTGAGAAAATAGGGGTTCCTTCTGTATCTGAATTGAATTCATTTGCTAGCCAATCACCCTTTTGTGTGTCGGTCAGTAGGGGGCAGTAGCGTGAGAAGCTGCCTTACCAGACCATGTGAGACGGGGAAGGCGTATTTGAAGATGAGCTCGAAGATATCTCTCCTGCTGTGACCTTCCTGCTTCAGGGCGAACCTCAAGTTCCTCATGTCCTGCGGAAAGAGAAGATCAACCACTTAACCACCAACACACACACAGCATCTAAGACAGTACTGCAGAAGAAGAAAATAAGTGTGATTGAATTTAGAACTCATTACTAATAGAGTATTCCACACTGTCACTCTTTAAAAATAACTCATTACCACAGCAGTCAGATATCCGGATAGTGATGCCTGGCTGAGCGGCGGCCACGGCTAGCTGCAATTTCTTAAAGGTACCCTGCAGAGGTTTTGACTTCCTGTTTGTTTAGAAAGCTCCACATGTCTCCTTTAATTTGTGAGGTAGTACAAGCACCAACTATCAGCTAGCAGTAGAGCTGCCTTCATATAGTAGACTGAACGTTAGTCGGCTAAAATCTTAGTCGAGTAATTTTTCATTGGTCCATAAGTCCCCAGGATTGACTGCGATGAGTGTGCTCTGTAACGTCAGCTGGGAAACCCCTCCAACTTCATACTGAGCTGCTGCCTCATTACGTTGATTCTTGTCTCGGTAGGAAATGTCAAAGTGTGGATAACAAAAAGTCGCCTTCCACATCCAAGCCACTGAAGCGCATCTTATCAAAAGCTGGCCTTCATTGCCAAAGCACAGAGTTAATATCCGACAACATGTGGTCCTTTCTCATAATCGAAGGAAAACAGCAGCAGTGAGTCAGGCAGCAGCCCAGCCTTATATCATTATAATGACTAATAATATTCTTGCCTCAGAGAAAAAAGGAAAGGAGGCCAGAAGGAGCAGAGGAAGGGGGGCAAGGGGCAGACGGGGGGGGGAGGAAAAGGGGGGGGGGAAGAAAGGGGAGGGCCCGAGGGGGGGGGCACACACACACACACAATACACACAATACACACACACAATACACACACACACATCACAACACAGCTACACACACACCACGGACAACACACACACCACAACACACACACACACACCACACGAGCACACCCACACACACACACCACAACACACACACACACACACACACACACACACACACACACCACACACCACACACAACACACAACACACACACCACACACACACACACACAACACACACACACAACACAACACCCACACACACACGACACGACAGCACACAACGACACACACACACACACACACACACCACAAACACACACACACACACACACACACACACACACACACAACACACACACACACACAACACACACACACACACACACACACACACACACACACACACACACACCAAACACACACACACACACACACACACACACACACACACACACACACACACACACACACACACACACACACACAACACACACACACACACACACACACACAACACACACACACACACACACACACACCTTGCAGGTGATGTCCAGGCCGTAGGAGTGTTCCCCTCTGCTCGAAGCCCGCCCATCTTCTCCACCCGACCGATGGCACCCAAAGGGACGTCCAGCGTCAGCGCCAATCCTACAACAAACAGCAGCACACAAAATA